GACCTCGGGGAAACCCTGAAACCAGGTGGCTACTCTGACTGGTGCAGAGTTGGGGTGGGGGGGCTGGGACTCTATGCTCTGTGTTGGTTTTTCATTGGATGGGGACAGGGTATGGCCTTGGATGAAGCACTCTTTCCAGATGGCTCCCAAAGGCCAGCTGTGGAGGACTGAGCTCTCTCAACCACACATGGAAGGTCCTTCATCTCTGAGGGGGGTCTGGACAGCTCTATGGGAGCCCCTTGGGGAACAGAGTTGGCTGTGGCCCAGGTGTCCTTTGTCCTGTTCTTGCTTGTGGTTAGCATATTTGTTTGGACCCACAGGTAAATAGATTCCCTTGGGATGGGGACATGAGGGGTCTGAAGGATTGTTCCCTGCGCCTCCAGGTTGTGTGCATGGCCACGTACCACACAGGCCCCCCCGCCCCCACCAACTGCATGGTGAACCTTCACTGGCAGTAAACAGTTGATAAAGGTGTTTCCCATCAGGCCTTGTGTGCGATGACAGGACCCGTTCCCATTTACAGAACACTGCCACGTCCCTGCACTTCATCTCCATTGTATCAAATTATCACAGCAAACCAATGACAGGTTTATTTCCCTCATTAATGAAGTGGGGTGGGGGTGGTGAGACTCAGAGAAGGCGCATTAATGCAGGGATTCGTGGGTATAAGTAGAAAGTTGGGGTCGAGGATCATCCTTAGATCTACCCTTTAGAAAGCCCAGCCCTGCCCGCGCGAACCATTGCTCTCACCCGCAGCCTGCTCCAGGCAGGTCTCCCTGCTCAGTCCGTCAGTCCCAAGCCCCCTTCCAGGTCTGCGTGACCCTCGGGCTTGGTTCCTTCTCCCTATGTGTGCTGTGTTGCAGGTCTGCTCAGCCCCAGGTCTGTGGGGCGGCCAGCGGCGCATGGGCTACAGGGGCTAGAGACAGAGTTTAGATACAGGGGTCTGAGAGTCCACGCTTTCATGCTAAATGTAAGCTGGACGTGGCTGGCCAGAGCTGAGGTGGGAGAGCGGAGGGCAATCCAGTGGAGTTCCCTCGGGGCCACCAGATTCTGACCAAGAGCTGAAAATTTCAAACTTGAAGTTTGTAATAGGACAAAGACCACGGCAAAGATCACTCTGTCAAAGTAAGAAGATGCCACATGCTTCAGTTAGCAGTGGTGGCTTGATTTATCATTTTGAACTTGTCACAAAAAGGACGACGGACCTCCCTGTGCTGTTGGCTCAGTCCTGAAAGCGTCTGGCCAGCCTGTGGCAGGCAGCCCTGCTGCTGACGGATGCCGTGCCTCCCTGGCACTCTGTACACTACGCCCTTGGGGTACTGGAGGACAGGGACAAACCTAGCTCCCCTAGGAATTGACCAAGATTTCCTGTTCTCTGGGGAAAGCCACAGTCAGTGACAGCCTGCAGCTGAGCTGCAGCATCAAGGGGACAACTTTGCGGACTTTCACTCCTGGGATCCACCTGGGTGTGGCCAGAATTGACAGTTTGAGGAACCCCGTTGTCCACAGACTGATCTCAGGGCACCCACCTCTCCTTCTTTAGCTCCTCCCTGACACACTTCTCCACCTCCCCCCGGCTCCCCTCAGGCCTGCGCCTCCCCATTCCTTGCTGAGCCCCTCCTACCCGTCCCCTTTCCAGAGGATCTCCTTACCTGCCCTGGTGAGCACTTAGCACTCTTAGTAACCACTGGGCTTCCCTCCTGAGGGCTTGGCATTGCACAGAGGGCCCAGGATTCTTGTGTGGCCAGCAGGGTTCCTCTCTAACGGTTCAGTGTCAGTGAGTTACACTCATGAGACAATCTTTTTTTTTTTTTAAACTAAGTTTGTCCGAAGGCCCCTGGCCAGAAGCTCTTTCACCACAAATATTTCTTTTTCCTTGTGAGGCTGTGTGAGTGCGTTGGTGTGCAGAAGTCTGGGTGTGTACTGCTGCATTCGTGTGCACAGATGTGCATTTGTGTTTGTGCGTGTCACGTACTCCCAGTCGCTGAGCCCCTTACGAGGTAGGCCCAGCTCAGCCCCTGTCAGCCCAGCGTCACACAGCAGAGCAGGCCGGAGTCCAAGCAGGACGCCGGGCTCATGGCCCCTGAGACTCTCAGGCCCTGTGTGAGACTTGTTGCAGCCCGCATGGCCCCGTGTGAGACGTAGCAGGGCCACAAGAATGTGGCAGTTATGGGCTTTGCAGGGCAGTGACGTCTAGGGGGTTCGTAATAAGCCTCAGGTTCCAAGGAGCCACTCCAGGGTCCTTTAGGAACAGGCGGCCTCAGCTGACCTCTTCACCAATGAGGCCCGTTTCTGACTCTTGAGCCCTGCCCTGGTTCCCCACCACAGGGGGCTTGAGCCAGCGAGCTGGCCACATCCTCTTTCAGAAAAAGGGCCTGGCAATGGGACAGCTTTCTGCTTTTTATTTGTGCACAACCGTTTCACCATTCCTTGACAACCCCGCGGGCTCCTGCAGACCCTGGGGCGACCCCTTCCTCTGCTGTGACTCAGCCAGCAGGAGAGGAGGTAGATCTCAAGCGGGGACAGTTACTGCTGGCTGGCAGTGCCACCCAGAGGAAACCAGTAGAGAGCACGGGCCTGAAGGACGCCTGGTTGGTGGCCGATGGTGCTCTCTCCCTTTGCTGGCGCTGTAGGAGAACCCGGGAGTCGCTCACAGCAGAGGGCAGGGCCAGGACCTGAACCACAAGGCCCGGCTTTGTCCTCCTTCCCGCTCCCTTGGCCCTGGCTTCAGTCTTCAGGCTCCTGAACCACTCAAGTTTCTATTTCCCTGTCTGCTCCAGCTCTGCCCCCTGCTCCTGGTGTCCAAGAGGAGCAGCGGGTGGCCCCCAAGGCACAGGGGAGCTCGGAGCAGGTTGGAAAGCACGCCGCAAACTTACGAGTTAGGATGAGCACCTGGACTTTTCTAAGTCTCAGTTTTCCCACGTGCAAAATGGAATTGGTGGCAATTATCTCTTAGGGGTGGTTTTAAATGGTTATGTACATGAAATCCTGCATGCGGCTTGGTATACAAAAAGTGCTCCATAATTGATACTTGTTACTTTCACCACCCCCACTGCCTACCTTTACCACCTTCACCACCACTGTTAGCCAGGTGCACAGGTGTGGGTTTGAGTGCCAGACCAGCCTTCTCTGTGTGGGAGGGGGTGAGGGGGGCAGGGAGTAAGTGGAAGAAATGAGAATTTTCCCCAGAATTTCAAAGAAATCCAGCCTGGAGCAGGGACTGGAGCATGAACAAGCCTATAACCAAGAGACTAAGTGGCTCCACTGGTCCCAAACCCCCAGAGCATCTCCTTCTCCCCACATCCTATCCACACTCATGTCTTTCATCTAAGATGGAATGTTCTGGAATTTTCAGGGTATGTTGGGAACAACTCTGGAACTTGGGGAGCCAGGAAGGTTTAGGCCCAGATCCTAGATGCATTTAGCAGTTGGATGACCTTGGTGAAGTCAGTTCTCTAAGCCTCAGCTTCCTGAGAGCACCAGAGCTGTTTTCTCAGAAGGTTCTGGATGGTGTAAATGGGATCTTAGATATCCAATGCCCAGCCCTGCTGCTGGATACATAGGAGGTGTTCATTTCCTATAGTTTTCCCTATTCCCCACCTGCAGGCCCCTCTCCTACTTGGAAGGGCCGGGTCAGGCAGCATTCAGGCTGACACTACACCCTTCATCCTTGAGGGCCCTGGGCTTCCTGAAGAAGGCAGAGGCCCTGGGTGAATTTGCCTCTGGTCACCTTAGTTCTTTCTAAGCTTAGAGCCTCAGTTTCCATCTCTGCAAAGTGGAGATAGTAATTCTCTTTCTTTGTAGAGTCATTATGACATTGTGTGGCAAGTGCCTGGAACTCAGTAGGGGCTCAGCAGGTGTGAGCTGCTGATATCTGATGTTAAAATTTCATGTAACTGTCTTTAATTATTTCCCAGTTTCCCCATTTCAGGGTGTGGACAGGTCAGAGTATTTGGTTTCCAAGGTTACAGAATTTCAGCCAAAAGCCAATGGCAAGAGGAGTTTGGATCTGGCCTGGCCAGCTCTGGCTGCATCAGGATAAGGAGCTGGCATATTGCTTGGGTCACACTTGGCAGCCCTGGCTGATGTGGCATGCACCCTAGTGAGTCACCCCCCAGTGCCAGAGCCCACAAAGCTCACTCCAGGCTACCAGGGCACCCTGAGCATTGACTCTGGAACTCAGATGTGTCTAACTTCACCAGGGACTAGCTGTAGTTACTGCCTGTTGCCTAGGACACCCTGGAGTTTCTGCTGGGCTCTGGGTGGGCATCTTTCCTGGCTAGAGATTGGGCTCTCTGGCCCCGTTGCCCTGGGCTTTGCCTTTAGCCACCTTAAGAGGTAAGCCCAGTGGATTGGATGACCTAAATACAAGTCCTGCTTCTGTCACTCACCAGCAGTGCCAACAGGAACAGTCAACTGCTTTCTCTGTCCCTCAGGGTTTAAAATGAGACTGCCTGCATATTGGGTCTACAGGCTGTTGTAAGCATTGGGAAAAATCCAGTGAGCTAGTGTTTGGGAAAGCTACGTGCAACCTAAAAGTGATATTCACATGAGAAAAATCAGAAACCCAGTTGGATGTACCTTTAGGCACTGTCTTTCCCTCTCTGGTCTCAATTTGCTTACCTGTAAGAGATGGGCGTTCCTGGAATGATGATCCATAAAGGAAAGATTTTCTGCTTAAGCAAATTTGGTGAAAGCTACGCCTAGGATTCTTCTTGTGGTGTTTCATAGCAGAGGCTAGGAGAAACCTACAGACTTTACCAATTCAACTAGAGTCCCTCATTATTGCAGTTAGGACTACTACTGTTATTATTCCTGGTCCTGTTTGTTGTTATTCACTTCTCGGCATGACTCTCTTTACCTGCCACACAATGCTCCTTGTGAAATGGCCAGGTGATAGAGCAGCTGATGAGGGACCCTGGTAGCTCTTGCAGACACTGATCCAAGTGCTGTGAGGGGCAGGGATCTAGTGGGTCACACTCTGCCTCTGTGTCCCCCAGGTGCCTTCCTGATTCCATACACCCTGTTCCTCATCATTGCTGGGATGCCCCTGTTCTACATGGAGCTGGCTCTCGGGCAGTACAACCGGGAAGGGGCGGCCACCGTCTGGAAGATCTGTCCTTTCTTCAAAGGTAAAGAAGGAGTCTGGGGGAAGTCAAAGTGCATTTGGGGAAATGCACTCCAAAGATGAGATCTGAGATAAACCAACTATCTGTGGGATTCATAGGCATCAACAAGGTCAGGAGCGTCCACCATTCAAAGTTACACAGGGAGCATTTGATGTGTCAGGAAAAGGAGCTGGTAACCCAAGTTTCAGAGTCTGGAGTCCCAAGTTTCAGTCTAGCTCCATCAGCTGAGTGGCCAGAGAGAGTCTATTTTCATGAAAGACAGAAATGTCAGAAACCCAGCATATACACCTCTGCTGCTCCCCTCTGGCTCCCGTGGCAGACATGACAAATTGATTGTGGAGCTTCTCAAACTCAGCTGGAAAGCTGCCTCACAATTCTTAATGCAACAGCCATAGCTAATTGATTGAAGATGGGATAGGATTGAGCCTATTTGCATTTGGAACTTATTACACATCTGCAGAAAGTACCATGACAACCGTCATCCCTTGGCCTCCAGATATCTGGCAGAAGGGTGTGGAGCAAAAGTAAATATTGCCCAAGCGCTGGTTAGAGAACCAGTAGCAATAAGGACAAATGTGACTACCATGAGCCTCTTCTCAGCTGGCAAGTGTCCATGGAGTACCTTCTGTTTACTCAATCCTGAACTAAGTTCAGACTGATACAAGAGTCTTGTGTGTGTATTAGCATCATTTTTGTTTACTTGCTGGAAATATGACTCAAACTGGCTTTAATATAACAGAGATTTTTTTTTTTTTTTTGCTGGGGGAATGCTAGTCTACTCAGGTACAGTTTGATCCAGGTGCTCAAATTGTACTCTTAGAATATGTGTTTGCATCATTCTCTGGTACATTTTTCTCAGTTGCTAAAAAAGATGGCTGTCAGCAACTCCAGGCTTAAATCCTGCTGAGTTTAACAGTGACCAAAAGCAAATAAGCAACGAATAAACTAACAAAACACCTTTATGCATCCGTGGCTTCATTAAAGTTCTGGGTGAAGACTTTCCTTGGTTTGATTTGAGCAATATGCCTATCTCTTAACCAATCATTGTGGTTGTGAGAAAGCAGCACTCTGATTGGCCAGGTCTTCACAAGATCATGAGCAGATCAAGGAAGTGAGGGATTACTTTTACCCAAGCCTCACAGGCTGAGTTACTTAAGGAAATCCCTTAAAGCAGTGCTGAGCAGGCAAAAATAATTTCTGCTCTAGGCAAAACTGTAGAATTAGCGTTAGAGGTGCGTTGGACACATTCAGGAAGATAATGTGTGGGCACGTGAAGCAGGTGATTGAGAATGAGACCCAGAGAACTCAGTGGGCTGAGGGCTTGCTTGAGATCCCCCCAGAAGCAGATTCGGAGGTAAGGATTTTAGTGTAAGTACTTATTTGGGGAAGTGGTCCCAGGAAGTGCCAGATGGCGTCAGGAAAGGGGGGGCAGCCCATGAAGTGTGTCATCAGGTCAAGTCCACCATGGGTGAGTGGAGAGGGTGTGAAACACACCTCTTCATTATCGGGTCCACGGGGCGAGGGAGTGGGGGAACTTATATTCCAGCTTCCAACATGGCTGCTCCCTGGGGCCATCAAGGACCTTCTGACCCATCAATCAACAGGCAGAGAGGGCTACCGTGGTGAAGGAGAGCTCTCAGGCAAAGGGGTGGTGAAGGAGAGCTCTCAGGCAAAGGGGTGGTCGGTACCCAAGGAATGCGGGTAGGACTGGAAATCTGCTACAAAACAATGTAGGGGTTGGGGACTGCGGTGTTTGGTGCCAAATCCTCAGGGGGAGGTGGCTCTGGGCCTGGGCTGGGGGCTTGACCTCTGTGTACCCACCCAGGAGTCGGCTATGCTGTGATCCTCATTGCCCTCTACGTTGGCTTCTACTACAATGTCATCATCGCCTGGTCGCTCTACTACCTCTTCGCCTCCTTCACCTTCACCCTGCCTTGGACCAACTGTGGCCATGCCTGGAACAGCCCCAACTGCACCGACCCCAAGCTCCTCAATGGCTCCGTGCTGGGCAACCACACCAAGTACTCCAAGTACAAGTTCACGCCAGCAGCAGAGTTTTATGAGTAAGTCGTAGACTCCTCGTCCTGGGCTGACTGAGGCCTGGGCAGGATCTGAACCAGACTCCAAGGAAGACCTCAGGTGGAGAGAGACAGGGCACGGATCATGTGACAGGCCTGAGGCTGAGGGGGAAGCAGAGGATGCAGCCCTGTCTGCGGCTTCCTGGGGGGCTTTTGATGTGGGTGGGAGAGTGGAGTGGGGGAGCAGTACCAGGAAACACACGAGGACCCCAGGAGGTGTTAGTTCTCTAGGAAATAACCGTCAGTTTGGAGAGAGAAATTGCTCTTAAGAAACCACAGCCAGTTGTGAATGAGGAAATAGGCACAAACAGGAAGTGTCTTGTCCAAGGTCATCCAGCTTGAAAGTGGTATTGGAAAGTGAGTTTGAACACAGGAAGTTGGGTCCCAAGGCCTAAGCTCTGAGCTCAGTGGTTCTAAACTTCAGCTGCATGTGGAAATCACCCAGAGAGCTTTTAAACACACTCCTTCCTGCTGGATCCTGTGTCCAGGGACTTGAGTTTCGCAGGCGTGGGTGTCACCAACACAAGTACATTATTATTAACAGCTACTTCTGGGATTCTAATACCTAGCCACTGCACCCACCTGTCTCAGAATAAGATACCTGTGGAGGTCAGGCTGACATCTCTACATGTCATGGAAAAACTAGGGTTTCTTCACTTTTCCCGAGGAATGTAACCTCAGAAGACCCCAGAATGTTTGGAGAACGTGCTGGTGGAAGTCTTGGTCTTCTCAGTTTGAGTGTGGTCTGGACAGGGAGACAGTAAGGGCTGGGGGGCGAGGAGGTTTCTGATCCCTGTAAGTGGTTGCGAGCTTCTCCCACCTTGTTTTCTCAGGCAGAAAAAAGCATGATCTTTCTTTAGCTCTTGGCAAACTCTGTTCTTATTAATCACAGTGGAAACTGATAGCCTGGTCATCTCTAGTCTGGTGGGTATCAGATTTCTCCACGGGTGTCTTTATGACCAGCTTGTCTGCCCCTGCAGTGGCAGGTCTCCTGCAACAGGTCTGGGGACCATGGTACCTTTCATGCAGCCACCCACTTCCTCCAGGCCTAGCTGTGAGCAGAACACAGTGGAGGGTGACATTCCTGTGTGCAGGCTTGGAGAATGCAGTGAAAGAGGGGTGCAGACCACCCCTCTTCTCCTCTCCTTAGCCCACCCCACTGCAAACCTTCATAGCTACCCTGAACCAGGGACTGACAATCTCTTCATATCCAAATCCCACTTCATCTGCACCGTTCACAGTGGCGGAAATTACCCTGCTTCACAGACAAGAAAGCAGAGGCTCTGTTTTAGGTTCCTGGCAGAGTTATCTGAGCGCCAGCTCTCTGACCCAAGGCGCCACCCCGTCCACAGCTCTCTGGGCTTTCTCCTCTCCAGTTAGTCTCCAATTAGTTCTTGTCCAGTTAGGTTCCCTGCTGATAGGTGGGACCCCTTCTTGGGCATGTCTGTCTCCCCTCTTCCCTGCCTACGGACTGCAGAGAGCATAGCCCTAGGCTGCGGAGTGCCTCTGGATTTTCCATGACACATGAACTTTCTGTCTAAAGGCCTCTGCTTTAAGACAAGTCAGCTCAGTCGGGGGAGCCAGCAAGTGGGGCTCCCAGGACCGATACTAAAAGATTAGATATTTTTTTTCTCTTTCCCCAAGACTCCTGGCCAATGTTGCCCCCACCTTGTACTCTGTTAGGCAGATGGATTGAACCTATCATTTAAGGGAACAAAAGTGCTCCTCTCCCCAGGCTCCAGGCCTGAAGCCACATGGCTCCACGGCAAAAGAACCTCTGATGCTGTCCCTTTATCTGTTAATGTGCACCCTTGGTGGATATGCGTTCAGCAATAGGAAAGTTCTGCCTCGCGCTGGCTCCTAGGGGAAAGAGGAACCTTTCTCTACCCCAATCCTAACCCTCTGAGCTTTTAAATGTCAAGTGAAAAATTGAGCTTTTTGGCCCATAGACTTTGGAAAGCCTGGACTGTACCCCTCACGATGATTCACTTTTATTAAACTGCTGGAAAACTAAACCAAACCCAAGGTTTTTGTGCAACCCCCCCCCCACCCCCCGCCCCTCGCTCAGGCCTGCAGAGGAAGCCGGATTCACTTCTTTTCTTGGAAATCAGCTCTGGTGTCTGGCTCTTTTTACTGATGAAACATCTAGTAACCGTGACACCCCAAAGTGGCCTTCAAGTGCACGTAGGGCTCATTTTGGCTATTCCAGTGGACACTAGGAGACATTTTAGCAAGTTTAGGGGCAAACAGATGCAGGCCATTGCTTTTTTCATGATTTTAACAATAAATCAGGGAAATGGTGATTGACACCGTTCAACACTTTGCCCCCGAAAGCACGGGAAGAAGCCGAATGAAGCATCAGGCAGGGTCAGGATGCTGTCTTTGGATAGGCCCAGCTACTCGATTTTCCTCTTCCCTCTTCTCTCTCTTTCTCGTTCTCTCTCTCGATGGGAGAAGAGCCTATGTCAGGGGATCCATCCATCCTTCCTTCCTTCCTTCTCTTTCTTTCTTTCTTTTCTGAGATGAAACTAGCAGAATAAGTTTTGCCAGGCTGATAAATTGGGCTGGAAAGTGTGTCCTAGGGTGCAGGAACAGGAAGTCCCAAGGCCAGAGCCTGGAGAGCAGAGGAGATTGTGGAGAAGTGGTCTGCTATTGTCATGAGCAAATGGCAGGGATGAGCTTGGCGGGGTGGGTTGCGACAGGCCTCAGATTCTGCAAGGCGTACATTTGCATCCTCCGGGCTAGGATTTCACTTGACAGCCTCACCACTGGACATTTTGGGTTAGAGGAGTCTTTCTTGGGAGGTGGGGGTTGGAGGGGGCGCCGTCCTGTGCATTCTGGGTGTTTAGCAGCTTCCCTGATCTCTACCCACTAGTTAAAGGGCCTTTGAGGATTTAGGGCCAGGATGGGAACCAGGTCTGTCTGACCCCAAAGCCTGGATAACTTCTGTATGTTAGTCTTCTATTTTCCTTCAAGTTCTTGCAAATATTAGATGTCTGTTTGAATGAATGAATGAATGAATGAATGAAGCAAGCAGACACAACATCAGTCATGGCCTGCAGTCCCAGAGCAAACTTTAATTCCCACCTGAGGATAAGCTGGATGGGTTTCCAGGCGGAGGGTATGTGTTGTCCTTCATGAGCCTGAAATGGACCCTCCCATGTCCTCTACTCTGATTCCAGCAAAAACCATCATCCGCCTCTCCACTGTGGACTCCTCTGACCACCCAGGCTCCTGAAATAGTTACACGCCTATTTCTTAAGAGCCTTTCTGAGACTTCTTTTCCTCAAATTTAGAAATCCAACTTTATTTTGCCAGGAAAGTAAAAGTTTCTGGAAGGCTCAAGTTGGTCTAAAAGAAGCCTATAATTTGGGTGGGCCTCTGACTCAGTGGGTCCGAGATTTGGCTGCCAGTTGGCATCGGCAGGGGTGGCACTGGTGGCCTGGTTCTGTTGCTCAAGGGTTATGAATTAATTGGTTGAGAACAGGGCCCAGATAGTAATATTTTATGACATAAAAGATCTAAATTTTTTTAAAAATTTTGATATCAGCAATTTTTAAAAAGCTGAGCCTTCAAGGATTCGGTCAAGGATAGAGTGCAAATATTTGGAAAAAAAATACATCTGTACTGAACATGTACAGTTCCTTGTCATTTTCCCCTACATGAACCAGTATAGTTGTTATTTGCATAGCATTTACTTTTGATTAACCAAGTATAACAGCTACTTATACAGCATTTATTTGCATTAGGTATTATAAGGAAGCTGGAGATTACTAGAAGTATACATAGGTATGAGTGTAGGGTATATGCAAAGATGATACCATTTTATGCAAGAAACCTGAGTATCCATGGATTTTGATATCCATGGATACCAAGGGACAACTCTATTAGCCTTTATGTTGCAGGGGCACACTGCTGACAAATGAGCCAAGAAACACAGAAACTGAAAGGATTAGAGATTAGGATCAGGGGAAATCAGGGAGCCCTCCAGGAAGAGGTGACATTGGAGCTGGGCCTGGCTAGGTATCCAGCAGTAGGCTATAGCTTCTGAGCATCAGATTCAGAGGAAGATGGGGGCAGAGACCCATTCTGGGGGCCTCTACAGCTCCCTGAACCCTCCCAACACTTGGCACACTTTATTGCTGTCTTTTGCAGTTAATGCTACCTCTCATGTTAGAACAGAAGCCCACCAAGGCGGGGACTATGTGCCAGCAGTTCCCTGAGTGTGTGTGAGGCCCAGATGGGCCAGCTAGCCACAGGCCCGAAATGAGGAATGCATGATTGGGGTGCAGAGCCGAGATGCCACACCCAAGTGTTCCCAGTCCTGCTGCTGCATCTTGTGAAGGTGTAGAATTGTTGGGGTACCCTCCCTCCATGGAGCCTGCTGTACTGGATTATCAGTTGGTCTTATTTGACCTTGATCCCAATGGATTTTGATTTGATTCTAATTAGCAAATGGACATCTTGTTCGCAATTCTATTTACCATTCCTTCACTGTATGAGGTGCCTCAATATTCTCAAACATTCTAAATGTTTATGGTATATTTTCCTTACCTAAGAAACATGTTATTGTAGGTGACCGTATTACAGAGAAGTGACAGCTTAATCAATATCACAAACTGAATGCATCCATGTGACCACGACCTAGATCAGGAGTCAGAGCATGACAAGTCTCCTAGAAATCCCTAGGAGTCCCTCCCAGACAGGAAACTTCTCTCCCATTCCAGAGCATACCTTTTCTGATTTCTAACCCTAGGTGAATTTTGCTTGTTATTGTACAGTGCTTTACTTGGATGGAATTGGACTTCTGTCTCTTTTGACTTTGACTACTTTTTCATAGCATTCGTTATGTGTGAGAGTTTCACCCATTTGGGGGTAGATGCTGTATAATGATTCATTTTAGTCAATGTGACATAATTTATCCATTCTATTGTTAATGGGTATTTGAGTATTTTGCAATTCGGGGATATTATGCTCAAGGCTGTGATGAACTTTCTAGAACATATCTTTTGGTAAACATATGTACAAATTCTATTGGATAAATACCTACAAGTAGACTTGCTAGGACACAGAGTATGCATATCTTTGATTTTAGCAGATATTCTTAGACAGGAGACTTGTTTATTCCTGTCTTAGTCTCTAGACAAGAGATTCTCAGGTTCAGCAAGATGAGCATTTTGGATGGGATAATTCTTTGTTATTGGAGACCGTCCTGGGCATTTAGGATGTCTAGCAGCACTGGAGTCATGTCAATAGAAAGCACCTCGGACATTGTCAAACATGCTCTGGGGTGCAAGATAGGCTCTTCCTCCTCTAGAGACCTGCTGCTGCAGAGGGTGAGCTCTAGAAAGCAGAGACCTTCCCTGTCTTATCACTGTGTCCCCAGTGCTAGCCATGCAGCAGGCACTTTGGAGAGCCATCCTGGGGTACAGGCCATGGCTGACCAGAGCCAGTCCATGTGATGCCTGCAGTGGCCAGTGCCCCCGAGTCAGGGAGAGTGGCTGACCCCTGTCTCCATCAGGGTGCATGTGGGACAGGCCCATGAGCCTGGCCTTGGACATGCTCCTTGACGCTGTTTTCCCTGGCCCCCCACCTCTCCTCCCCACAGGCGTGGTGTCCTGCATCTTCACGAGAGCAGCGGGATTCACGACATCGGCCTGCCCCAGTGGCAGCTCCTCCTCTGTCTGATGTTTGTTGTCGTCATCCTGTATTTCAGCCTCTGGAAAGGTGTGAAGACATCAGGAAAGGTAATGTCCCTGTTTTTCTTTCAGTTGGGAGCTTGGCCTTGGGGGGAAAAAAACTTCTAGCTATAACCATGTGGTTGATGAAAAGACAAGGGAACTCTAAGAATACTGAGCCTCGTTCAGCCCTCAGCTCTGCATTGACACGGATGAATCCCTTCCTTCCCTAAGCCTGAGTCACCCCAACAGCAGGGTGAATGGGTGCAAGTAGATCTGGGCTCTTCATACTTTTCAGCCAAACTCCCCTAATAGCAGAGACCAGGTACTGGGACACCCCTAAAGACTTGGGGATCAAACCTAAAACAACACTTGACCCATCTCTACCTTGATAGATCTTGAATTTTGACCTAAAGCTTCATGCAAATGTTGCATAGAACATAATTATTTGGAATATAATGGAACCTAATCATTTGTCTTACTATAAAATTAGTAAATCTCCACCCTTCTGAATTTTTGAGTAAAAGAGAATGCTCCAGAAGATATCCAGCTGTATGCTGTGGGCTTGTGTTTCCTCTGAAACAGTGCTGAGGGCCCCCAGGGGTCTGGGTGCTTTGGAAAGAAGCACACAGGGTAAGATGGTCATGGAGGCCCAGCTGAGATGGGGCATTCTCAGCTTGGGTGACACTGCCCTCTACAGTCAGCCTCTAAAAGTGGAGTATACTCAGGGAATGGCCTGCACTGACTTGTTAGCCTGTGGAATATCATGGGGACACCAATCCCTCTGGGTTCTAGAACTTGAGTGTATGAAAAAGAATGAAGCTGGGGAATGTCTTTCCAGTGTTTTTCTTAGCAATTGGTGTGTAATGAACCACCCTGAAATGTGGTGATTTTAATTATTTAACTCTCATTCTGGGAGTTGACTGGGCTCAGCCGGGTGGTTCTTCTGCTCCTCTGTGTTGCTTGGGTATCTCGCAGCATGGTGGCTGTGTTTCCAGATCACGTTCCAAGCAGACAAGACCTGATGTGCAATAGCTCTTCCAGTCTCTCTTGCATGATGCTAGCTATTGTCCAATGGAAAAAGCAAGTCTTGAGATGAAGACTTTGAGTTCATGTGGGAGGAGATGACACACAGATGGGAGTTCATTGGAGGGGTGGGGGGTCACAAGGCAAGTCTGCCATAATCAGATAGGGATGAATTTGGAAGAAGCTTCATTCAATAACTGGCTTTAGAAAGCAGGATGCATCAGTATTCTGTCTGGTGTCTTGAAATTTTTATTATGCCTTTGAGAGCAAGGACAGGGACAGGGGACCAACAGCCACTGGGAATGTAATCTGTTAACAACTGGAGGTGAAATTTCCTATCAGCACATTGGGGAGACAGGATTTTTTCCTAAGGAAGGACTAAAATGAAATGCAGATCAGGATTGGAAGGAATTCTGGAGTGTAGAGCAAAATCAGTCTAGGACCACCACCATCCCAACAACTGGCACACAGTAGGTCTTCAGTAAATATCTGTTAAAGGACTGAAGAATGGGTGGGTAAATAAGTCTTTAATACTTTATTAAGGATTCTTTTAAATTCAGTTCAACTCATCAAACTTAGTAAACTTTTTAACTTATTGTGGACACCTACTGTGTGCTAGGCTTGATGCCAGTACCAATGATGCAAGAATAAGTAAGACAAATGTTTTCTTCAATTTCTTTTAGTCTATATTCATTATGGATGGGTTGTGGGTCAGCCAATGTCAAAGTGTCTTGGGACTCTATCCAGAGCTATATATGGGTGTCTCCCTTTACACTAATATTAACGGTTACAATCTACACATGGTATTATGTATTTTGCTTATTTATATATTTATTTATTTTGTGGTGCTGGGGTTGGAACCCAGGGCCTTGTGTGTGCCAGGCCAGCGCTCTACCACTAAGTCACATCCCAGCATTTCTTGCTTTATATTTTAAAGTTAATTTTACCTTGGAGATAATTTCCCATTATGTGGTCAGGTTATACCTTAATAGAAATACAAACAGCGGGTTTTTAAGCTGTCATTAGATCAACTTAGTGGGTTGCCACAAGTTGTTAAAATGGTATAGGCTAGATCATCAGAGGGCATTGCATAAAGAAGAGATGAGCTGTCTCGAGCCATTCAGTTTCAGTTTAGGCAGCCTATATGTTTATGTGTAGTTGAACTTGACATAGAAAGTATTCCTTACCAAAGGATATGGTTAAAAAGCCTGAGATGCTGCATTAGTAGAGGAAGGGAGATCTTTGGATTGAGGGAGTCTACAAAGACTGTGGAGAAGAGGGCATTTGTGCTGGGTCTGTGAGGACAGGCATGGGTAGAAATGAGGAGGAAGGAAGAGGTTCTCTATGGAAGGATCCACATGAACAAAGCCACAGAGGTGTGGAAGCCCCAGCCCAGCCTGAGTTAGTGCTTTCTGTAACTCTCTAGCTACCAGAGCAGGACTCTCCTGGCCTCCTCAGAGGCCCACGGCAGAGTCATAGTCTATCCCTGTGAACGACAGAAGTATAGTCTACTGGCCCGTGTGTGGGGTCACCACAGGCTTCTAATACCGCAGGCCAAGATTAAGTTCCCCACAGCCCCTGCCAAAGGGGTGCAGCCTGCACCATTTAGCTTGGAACTTGGCCAGAGCAGAGCACAAGCTGTCTACAGCCAGCCAACTGGATGCTACAGAGAGGCCAGGAGGAGCATGATCAGTTTCTCTTGCCAAATGCACTTTCAGAGGCGAGGAGGAGGAGTGTAATGAAGGGCGGGACGGTTGTGTCACCCCAGGGAAGTCCCCCATGTGGAAACAGGAGGAGCGGGGAATATGAGTCCCCCCTTGTATGCATCCGCTGAAGCCACAGCCCACACTCTGCACAAGTCCCCCAGTGTTCTGGCACTTGAGCAGGCCGAGGCCCCAGGCAGTCCGTGGGGAAGATTTTTAGAACAAGCAGCTTTGCTTAGGACATTCCTGTGCCCTGCTTTTAATAGTTTTTATAAAGTGGCTCAGGAGGAAACCAAGAATGTTGCTTATCTCTTCCCGGACGATGTCTGGAACAGCACACAGCTTTTCTTAGCAGCCTTCCACGGCTGCAGAGCCTGCCTGAGGTGAATCATGAATGCACACACTTCCCATCTGGGCAAATGGAGGCTGGGATTCAGAAGATGCTGACTCCTGGGCCCCGGAGATGGTGGGAGCAGGTCTGAATGGGACAGGGGTTATCCCAGGCCACTCACCCGATGACAACTGGGTTGGCCCATCCGGCACCTCAGGGTGGAAGGTGAGGCCTGAGCAGTGCTTGCTATGCTGGAGCCCCACCCTCTTTCTGGATCTCCCGCACCTGTCTACTCTGTGAACATATTGGACTCAGACCTCAGGCTCCCCTTCCCTGGAGAGAAACCAAGACATTGGAGTTGGCTGGGATCAGCGTCACTCATCCACTTCACTGCCAGCTTTTGGGCTGTTTGGGGGGTGGCCCTAGATGGAGCACCTCCTGAATTCAAGCAGAGATGGTGCTACTGGGAAGAGAGAAAGCCAGATCAATTCAAAGGAAACCTGAGCTCTAGAATATTTAAATTAAAAAATAGCCCTGTTACTTTCATATTCAAGTCATAATTCTAGCCAAGCCTTCCCACTACTGTCTCAATTCAGGCTGGTCCTGGCTTGCCTTGGTAACTTGTTTGGACCCAGTTGTGATGAACAACATCATTTGCATATGAGCCACACATATACCAAAATACGTGTAGCTCAGTGTTTTCTTGAGTAACATCAGTGCATAGCGCACACCCCATAAGTCTTTTTTAAAAAAAACTGTGCCTTCATTATTAATGAAAATGTCCCTGAGACCCAGTTCAGAGGTCCACAAATTCTAAGTCAGTAAAGGTTAAATTAATGCGGTATGGACATTTATGTTCTCTATTAGGCCTTGGAGTAGATCAGGAGCTTCTCTAACATGAGTGTATGTGAAGATTATTTGGGGGGCTTGTTAAAACTCAAATTCCTTGTCCTTTCTTGAGAGTCTGGGAACTCTTGGAGATGCTGATGCTGATGTTGCTGGTTCACCGACTTCACCTGAGTCTAGGCAATTCTTTTCCCAATGCCAGGATTTATTGTAAGGCTTCTATACCTTCAAGTGAGGTACATTTACCTCACTGTTCTCCTGGGCAGCTCAATTCCATTAGAGAGCTCTATCATTCAAAAGTTCTTCCTTTCTTGGAACCAAGATCCTCCTCATTTTGATGATAAGCAATTGGTTTGGGTTTAGTACCCCCAGAACTTCACGAATTATCCGCAGAAACATCAGGCGGTTAGGAAATTTCAGGTGATAGAAAAAAGTGACATTCCTTGGGGTCTAGGAACATGCTTTCTAAGACCAATGGGCTGTTCATTGTCTTATGCTCAAAGTAAAATTTGCACTCAAAGTTAAACTTTTAATAGGAGTTTGGTTTCTCGTGGCCAGAGATGCATTGTGAGTTGAATTCTGAGAGCAGAAAGGCCTGGGATGGAGACAGAACCCAAATGTCCCTCTGTTTGACCAAGGTGCATACAGGGCTCCTGTGGGCAAGGGTGAGCTATGGCCTGAGGATCTAGGAGTCTCACTTTTGACACAAAGTCTTAGGCAGTGGAACTCACATAAGCCATCAATTCTGAGAACCTTCGACAAGACTCGGATGCTTTAGTTTTGAAGATGTGTGCATGGGCAGAGCAAGCTCCTGTTCTCCGTGCTTGACTGTTGTCACGGTCAGCTCGGTCACGCTCTGACGTGTTCCCATGTTGGAACCTCACATATGGCCAATGCAGGGCCACCTCCAGGCCCAAGGAGAGATCCTCTGGAGTAAAAAATGCAAGATTTATTTTTTCTTTTTTGAAAAAAAATAAAGTTTGTGTGGTTACCTCTGACCTGTGGAGATGGGCAGGGCAGCTTGGGCTTCAGCTACTGACAAGAATTGTCGGGGCCCATAGTAGATAGGACCGCCCCCCACAAAGGTATGGGAGGAATCTCTGTGATTGCTGCTAAGGACCCACTTGCCCTGGTTAGGGAGACCAAGTCCAGGGCCATTGAGTGAGGCCACCCAGATTGAACAACTCCCTTTCCAGGTCATGTTTACCTCCCCAGTTGTCCGATCCTTCATCCAATAAGTGGTTTAAAGGACCCATTCAAGCCAGGTGCTGGGCATAATTTTTTGAAACTTTTGTTTCTAAGGTGTGACAGTCCAGTGGGAAGGACAGACAAACAAACAAAGAGAATACATTTCCGTCTTTAAGCGTAGGCATGGAAAACATAGGACTTTACTTTCTGTGTCTTGATTTTTGTTTTGAGCCCTTATCTTTCAAGGTGGACAAAGAACTTGACTCTCAGTCATGTACTGAGGGTTCCCTTTTCTCCCAAGGGACGTGCAAAGACCCTGGGGGCTGCAGAGTGCCAGAACTTTTGAGGGGAGGAACCGCCTGGTCTTTAATTTATGTGTGCTCTCCTGTTTCAGCTGAGTCTTCCTTGGGTCTGACCACCCTGGCCCTGGCTTGATTTTCTGTTCAGGGTACAGTATTTTATTACAAGGATGCCCACAGCTGCATTTGCCTATAGCAGGGATTTTTAACCTTGAAATTGATGTCACTTGGGAAGTTTTTGAAATACACCGAAGTTCAGTCTGGGTTCAGATATCACCTCAGACCAGTTAGATCGGAAACTCCGAGACTGAGAACTGAGCATAGGCATTCTTATCTAGAGCTTCCCCAGGGACAATGACATGTGGCCACCGGCACCAAGGAACAGCCAAGAGGCCTGCATAGCCCTTAGCATCCACATTTTGTAATCTCTTCCTCCGAGTGGGCAGGAGAGTGAAGTGGCTCTTTTTAGTCTGAGGATGATCTCTTCCCCTTTGCGTTTCTGAAAAAGACACTTTGTCTTTGTCCCAAATCTGCTCCAGTTAATATGGAGAAGGGACAGAGACTCTGCTTTCTGCCCAACCACAGACCTGCTTGGGCAGTGGGCTTCGGAGGGTGTGCTTAAGTGGGGGTAAAGGAAAAGCGGGAGAAGCCACAAATTTGGAGAAAAAGAAGGGAGGAGAAGAAGAAGGAGGAGGAGGAGGAGGGAGGAAAAAAAATGAAGATCTTTAAAACCCTGCCTGGGTCCAGAAAATACCTGTGGTCGGATGCATGCAGGACTGGCAGGAACAGTGGACACAAAAATGGGGATCAGCTTAGTTCTACCTGAGGCAACTCAAAGGGACCAGGAGAGGTGGCTTTGTGAGGGGGTGGCACCTGTGCTATGAGAGCCTGGTCTTTGCCCATGGCGACCTCAGCTTCCGTCTCAGCACTATGGAGATGGCCTCGCGGGTTCTGAGCTTCCCCGGGTGCGCCAGCTCTGTTCAATGTTCTGTCCCTGGAGTCTGGCTCGGGGCTGACCTGGAGGTGGAGCCTGGCACGTGTGTTGGGTGAAGGGAGCTGGCGGGAGGGCCTGACTGGCTCTCTGGGAGAGGACCCTGTGTCCCTCCAGCACCCTCCCCTCAGCGGGAGGCCGATGGAGGGGCTCACAGCCGCCATCCGTTGCCAGGTGGTGTGGATCACGGCCACCCTGCCGTACTTTGTGCTCTTCGTGCTCCTGGTCCATGGCGTCACGCTGCCCGGCGCCTCCAACGGCATCAACGCCTACCTGCACATCGACTTCCACCGCCTAAAGGAGGCCACGGTCAGTGTCACCCCGACTGGGCCAGGGCAGGGAGGGCTCTCAGGAGCAGACGGTGATGGGAGAAACTGGTCCCTCGTCCACCCCGGTCGCCCCTTCCCTGTTTCTCTAGTCCCCAGCCATGGCCTTTCCACCAGCCTGTCATGTCAGCAGAAAGAGCAGCCTTAGCCCCCAGGGAGACCTGGACCTGCCACCTCTCTCCCCCAGCAGCCTCCTCCAGCTCACCGTCCTGCCTAAAGTCCCAAATTGCAATGAAGAAGGGGTGAATTTGGTAATGAAGTCCAGGGCAGTGGGTGAGGATGGGTGCAGAGACCATCTTGGAGGGGCCTAGTGCCTTGAGCATCTTTAAATAACAGCCAAGATCACTTCCAGCCTCTTCCCACTGGTCCCCACCAGGGAGAAAACCTCAACAACTTTCTCACAGTTCTCCAGGGCTTCTTCGCTTTTTATTGGAACCCACAAAGATCCTGGCAGGCGGCAGCAACATAGAATTAGGAGAGATATATCCCAGTGTGCTTCCTGCCCCGCTCAATGTCCCAGCACATCACCATGCTATAGACCAACGGCCAAGAGAAAACCTATTGACTTAGCAACTTCCAGAAATGTAACCCAGCATGAATCTGCCTTGTTAATTGTGAAACATATGAGTCCTCTTGTTCTGCAACTGTCTCGCTGTCCCCAGTCATTCAGACACGTGGAGATCAAGCCCTTCATGCAGTCTGAAGGAGCAGACCCCCCCCCCCCGTGAGAGTGCCCCCCTCATTGTGCGATGGGGAGAGAACAGAAATCTCCCCATTCAAATCTGAATTGCAGCTCAGTTCCTATGGACTAGGTATAATGACCCCCACTACACAGAAGAGGGGTGACGATATTAGAGGGGTGACGATATTAGAGGGGTGAGGTTGACCAGGGCTGAACCTGGCAGGGAGGTGGGAGAGGGGCTCATATCTTCAGGCCTCCAGCTGTGTGCACGCATCACCCCAAAGATGCGATCAATAAACCCCATTGCTTCCCAAGGCCACCATTTGTCCTAGACTCGGAAAAGTCCACTCATTAATCCCTTGCTGTGGATGTCAACCCCTTAACTCCTACGGTGGTCAGGACCCTCTGCTCTTGCCCTGTCGACCCCCTGGCTTAGAACTAGGAAGCTGATAAACTGTCTTGGAAAATTAAGGGCTTTCAGCTGATGCCGTGAGTTCCTCCAACCTGAGGTTGCCCCTGACTGCCCAAGGCTGGGAGATGCTAGGGAGACCCCCGCTGTCTCTGGGAGAGGGGGCGTTCCCTGGTCCCAGAGCATCCCGGGGGCTTTCTGTCCACCCCGAGCTCCAGTTCTGTTGGCAGCAGAGGGTGACGGCTTTTGTCTGCGCTTTCAGGTGTGGATTGATGCTGCAACTCAGATATTCTTTTCCTTGGGGGCTGGATTTGGAGTCTTGATCGCATTCGCCAGTTACAACAAGTTTGACAACAACTGTTACAGGTAAGTTCCTTCTCCGAGCTATGAAAAGCTCAGACCTTTGTGGGGATGGAAGAGGGGTCTGGGTCTGGTCCGGATGTTCTTGGACAAGCCAAATTTCCTTGCCGTGGACATCCTGGGCATTCTGTGAATGCTGATGGACGTGTGGTGTCCTGATGAATGTGTTTACTCCGGGATGCTTTTTAAACGGTCATGAGGTACCCATCAGGGAAAGTTGGGGTCAGTAGGATCAGGAGATCCTGGATATGGGTCAGAGGAGCACCGTGTGACTTTCAGAGCAGACGGTGCTGCCTGGCTCTGTCCGTCAGATGACCAGGCAGCCAGGGGTGGAATAGCCCGGCTGATCAGGCCTGGCTGGGTCAGAGGTAAGACTGGAGGGCAGAGTGAGTCAGACCTGCTCCAGTCTGGGTCAGTAAGTTCTCAGTGCTGCCCCCTGCAGGCCCAGTGCTATGAGGACTGCAGAGATGGGTACAGATCAGAGTCCATCTGTCACCCCATCTGAGGCTTAAGCAGAATGACAGTGTCTTTGGTACAAGAAAGAGTCGGATGACTATGTGCCATCAGGGCAAGTTTCAGGATGGGGAAGGAAGGGCATGGTGGTCGGCCTTGGATAGACTACGGCTGGCAGACCTGGGGTGGAAGGCACGTGTGGTGAGGAGCAGCGTGCACCAGGGCTGGGACCAGCAAAGTGACTGGCCTGGTTCACTTAAGGAGTACATATTGGAAGTCGTGGGAAATTACCCTGATTGATGCCCAGGTGAGCCGTTGGGAGACCCTGGGGAGCCATGGAGAGTTTGGAAGAAGAAGCCTCATGACCTGATTCCCCAACAAGAGTTGGATACCAGAGTCTGGCATTGAACTATTCCCTCCACAGCTATTCACCTACTTCTTGCACCAGCAGCTACTGACCCAGCGGAGGTCACTAGGGGTCCATGTAGCACCAGGATATGGCATTTGAGGCTAGGTCCAGGCTGCAGATTCCACAGATGGGCAGAGATCTGTGGTGGGCAGCGCTGGAGGGTGAGAGTCAGGGGGACTTGAACTAGCAGCACTTCTTTCCCCCAGGGACGCCCTGCTGACCAGCACCATCAACTGTGTCACCAGCTTTATCTCTGGGTTTGCCATCTTCTCCATCCTCGGTTACATGGCGCATGAACACAAGGTCAACATCGAGGATGTTGCCACTGAAGGTGGGTGAGCAGACCACTTTGGCTCCAGCCAAGGGAGGAGGGACCAAGAAAGCCACCTCATTCCTGGCTGCAAAGCCCTCCCCTGGCTGTAGGACTGTGAGGGCTGGCGTTTCCAAACCGTCCCCTTGATAGACTTTTCCTGAGGCTGTCAGTGGGAATTCCAGGCAACGCTGGGCCCTGGATAGGCAACAGAACCTTCTTCTGAGTTGGACTAGGGGGAACAGTTCTCGAAGTGCCCCACTCTGGAAGCCCCTATGCTAATCATTTTACATATGTCTAAGTCCATTTTCTGTTGCTATAACAAAGTACCTGAGGCAGTGTGATTTATGCGTAAAAGAAATTCAATGAGTTCACAGATCTAGAGATTTAAGAGTGTGACAGTAACATCCACTGAGCTTCTGGTGAGGGCCACATGCTATTCAACTCACCACAAAGTAGAAGGGGAAATGACTGTGAAGAAGGGCTGGGTGTGGAGCATTTTAAATAATCTGCTCTCCCATTAACAATCCAGTCCTTAAAGAGCAATGTTCACTCCTACAAGAAAAATGTTAATCCTAATAACCTAGTAACCTCTTTAAGTCCCCATTGCCTCTTGATATTGCTATACTGGGGACTGGACCTCAGCATGAGTTTTGGTGGGGACAACTCTACGTTCAAACCATAGGAACTTAATTCCATTTAGTGCTCACAAGACTGACAAAAGTAAGACAACCAAAGCACGAGGACCAAGGTCACCCAGTTGGTGAACAATGATGCCAGCTATTCATCAGTCTGGCTTTAGGATCCATGTCCTTCTCCACTGCTTCCTGTATTCTTACCACCACAAAGAAGCTGAGACCTGGTAAGGGCTCCCTCTAATTGACTCTGAGGACCACCAGCTTTTGAAAATAAGAGTGGATCCTTCATGGCGTGTAGGAGATGGGTTTGCCTCATGTAGCTTATGGCTGTCTAGGCAAAGGCACTGCTCTTTGGCTGGATGTTTGAGGTCAATTTCCTTGATATGCTGGCTGTGTTAGCCAGCTATCGGTTACTGTAATAAAATACCTGAGAAAATCAACTTATAAAGAGGAAAGGCTTATTTTGAATCAAGTTTTGGAGGTTTTAGTCCATGGTTGGGGACCCGGTGGCTTATGGTCCTACAGGCTTCACGTGTCATCTCCTGACCTTGGGTGTGCACTACCCACTACACATGACTGACCAAGTGTCCTGGGGCCGAGCTTGAGCAGATGTTCCCCAGCTCCCTGCGGTTCTGATCAGTAGTTCCAGCCATTGATCAGGACCTTGATGTGTGTTACAGGAGCTGGCCTCGTGTTCATCCTGTATCCAGAAGCCATTTCCACCCTGTCGGGATCGACATTCTGGGCTATCTTGTTTTTCATCATGCTCCTGGCCCTGGGCCTTGACAGCTCCGTGAGTGACCCTGCTCAGGATCTGCCCCATCCCTGGGCCTGACCCGCCTCCCTGAGGGTCACCCCGACTCAGCCTGCAAAAGGAGCATTCCTCGTTGTGCAGACAGAGCTGAATGCAGAGGGGACATGGTGGCATCTTCTGGTCCAACCAAGCACTTTCCCATTTATTCTATTTCATCATCGACAACCAACAAAAACATATCTTAGATCCTTTTGTGAGGCTCACATGCAGGACTGGATTTCCTGACATCTTTTTATATCTGTGACCACCCCTTGCACATCGTGCCTGAGGTGTGACAAACAGCTTCCTCCCGCTGCCTTTCCGTTAACTGATAGATCTGCCAGGAGCAGGTGTTGAGTCCCAGGGGAGAAATTCTGATTTTGATTGACAATGTCTGCCAAGAGGAGAGGACAGGAGCATGGTGGCCCGTGTCTTCTTCAGCCAGTGGCTCATCCCTTAGGGGATGCGTGTGCCCAGAGCAATAGGATTGGAGAGCCATTCGGACCTAGAGTCTGGAGTCCGAGGTGACCACTTGATAGATTAGAAAGGCAGCTGAAAGTCCTTGTCAAAAACTGCTTCTTTGAAGTTGCCCAAACTAGAAGCTCTTCTCTGGTGGATATTTCTAGAAAGCCCTTTTTGTATGCAAATGTGTGCCCTGGGGAATACACTGGACGCCCTTCACTCTCTGCGGGGTCCTCAGTCTCCTTGGGGCTGAGGGAGCCATCAGGCAGCTGGAGGTGGGTGGACAGGTCAACTTAATCCTCCACCCTCTATGTCTGAGTTTGACTGACAGCAGGGCAGGACAGGGGGGAGAGGAGGGGGAGGAAGGTAGGACCACGCACTGACTTCTTGAGAGAGGCCAGGGTGCCTCAGACTGAGGGCCACCTGCTCCACACCTACCTGTTCCCTCCAGATGGGAGGCATGGAGGCTGTCATCACGGGCCTGGCCGACGACTTCCAGGTGCTCAAGCGACACCGGAAACTCTTCACGTTGGGCGTCACTGTGGGCACTTTCCTTCTGGCCCTGTTTTGCATAACCAAGGTGAGGAGGGACTCGGGCCACTTGGAGCTTCCGGGACTGCATGTCAGTCCCCAGCGGTGGAGCTGGCGCGTGCAGGGCTGGGCTGAGCCCGTGGAGCAATGGGGTCTGAGAGCAGGGGCCAGCATCGTCCTCAGCCCTGCGGCCCCTCCTCTGGGTGACCCTCCACCTCTGAGCCCGAGGATCTCCAGGCTCCCCTGCTGCTTATTGATTTGGGGGCAGCAGAGCCCCTCTGAAGTCCATCTCACCACCCCTAGAGCCCATGGCTCTCAGAGGCCTTGGTTAGAACGCAAATAGGTAGGTCCTATGTGTAGGGCCACAACCCTGTCACCTGCATTCCCTAACAGGGTTCTGAGCATGTGGGTCAGGGGACAGGTAAGACACGGTAGTTGCAACAGTCAGTGGCCTCTTCTGGCCAACGATGGCCCCAGGCCTGCTCTCTGTGCCCCAGGGTGGAATCTACGTGCTGACTCTCCTGGACACGTTTGCGGCCGGCACCTCCATCCTCTTTGCTGTGCTGATGGAAGCCATCGGAGTGTCCTGGTTCTATGGTATGTGAACAGCTCTGGTCCCCAGGGCTCCTGGGGCCCTCCAGGATGTGAGAGGACATTCCATTCCTAGGCAGCCTCCTGACTCTCCAGCGTTGGGCAGGCCTCATGTGGGGAACACGTCTCCCTGACCCCAGCTCCTCTTTGGACAAACTCCCTTTAACAGGAAGCGACAGAGGCCCTCAAGGCACCAAGGGTCCGGGTCTAAAGAGGAGCCATAGGAGTTACTGAGCCCACCCTTGGAATTCATTCTCACCCAGGGTTGTCAGGCTGAGCAGGCAAAAGACAGAATGCCCAGTTAATCTCGGATTTCAGATAGACAATGTTTTTTTCCTTTTTGTTTTTTAGTAAAATTATGTCCCAAATGCTGCATAGACGTATTGATCCTACTCCTTTTCAAACTCAACTGGGGATCTTGTGTTTTATCTGATAACCTTATTCTAGAACCTGAGAAAACATTTGATCAACTGTCAGATGCTAATTTCTGTTTTTCCCCTCTATGGGACACCCAAGTATGAGTCTTGTTCTGACTTTTCTTGGGAGGTGATTGCAGTGTAGGAGCCCGACCTCTTCTATCTGATTGCAGCCAGGGATACAATACACGTATGTATACGTGGGCATGCAAAAAGGGTGTGCACACGGTTGTTATTTTCAGAAAAAGAATAAGAAGAAAGAGCTGGGCTTTGGAGTCAGGGCAATGTGGCTCTGTAGCCTGGGGCGAGTCCTCTGCCCTGCCCGAGCCCTGGCTTCCCTCTTACACACTAATTGGGGTGGCTTATAAAAGGTGACACTGTCCTTGAGTTTGTCCTTTCCCTTGCTCTGCATCAATAAAGTGCCCTCCCAGGTCTCCTCAGCCCCGGCGGCTCAGTCTCTGACCCCCCTGTCCTGCCGTCTACTTGGAGCCAGAACTTCCAGGGATGGGGGACCCAGGGGATACCCTGGCTCTGGGGGTCCAGCCTGCCATGGGGAGGGACTGCCGTGACAGGCGTGCCCTCGTGTGCCCAGGTGTGGACAGGTTTAGCAACGACATCCAGCAGATGATGGGGTTCAAGCCCGGGCTGTATTGGCGACTGTGCTGGAAGTTTGTGAGCCCTGCCTTCCTCCTGGTGCGTACTGTGTGGCTGGGAGCCCAGGGTGGGCTGGGGTGGAGACCTTTGCTTTCGGGGAGGAGGCACGGGGCCTTGGAGGCCAGCCGTGCCGACAGGAGCCTGGGGTGCTCAGCCTGGGGACATGGTGGGCGTCCACCTCAGCAGTTGCCCTCTGGGATTCTCTTCCTCCCCCCTCTCTCCTTTCCCTGGGATCCACTCCCTCCTGCTACATCTCTCCTGGCTCGTCTCCCCCCCACGCTCTCCTCCCCCTCCCCTCGTACCCGCCCCAGTTCGTGGTGGTGGTCAGCATCATCAACTTCAAGCCGCTCACCTACGACGACTACGTCTTCCCGCCCTGGGCCAACTGGGTGGGCTGGGGCATCGCCCTGTCCTCCATGGTCCTGGTCCCCGCCTACATCATCTACAAGTTCCTCAGCCTGCGGGGCTCCCTCTGGGAGGTGAGCTCTGGGTTGGTCGTGGGGGTGGGGTGGGAAGTGACGTTTCTGTTGGGGTGAGACAGAAGGACAGGGCTGCTGGGGCCAGACAGATCTGCCTCACTGGCCAAGTTATCCACCTCCTTGAGCCTCCGTGTCCACCTCTGTCCCCGAGGACCATGTTGTGCACCTTTAAAGGAGAAAGGACGTCCTCAGCACAGGGCCCAGCATGTAGGAGCTGGGCCAGCTGTCACCATGTCACCATGGCTGTTCCTGCCACTGTAAGCAAGGAGAGGCTCAGCCCTGGAGTCAGGAAGGATCCATCAGCCGGACTGCCCGAGCTGGGCCCACTTCTGGGTCCCCTTCTAAAGTTGGCAGATGTCCCAGCTCTCCCTACCCAGCCCACTGATCTGGTCATCTGGGTTTCCGTACTTCTTTCCTGACCATAATGACCTGAGCAGCCTAAATCAAGGACTTCTAACGTGTTTTCCTTTTTTACACACATGCACACGCACAAGTCCCTGTGGATGTCTGGGACATGGAGCCCGCCCGTGTTCTGAAATTATGTCATTCCCACTATTTGACTGTGAAAATCCACCCCCCCCCCTTTTTTAATTAACTAATGGCCGTAGTCTTTCCTTCATGTCCTTACTTTGTAAAACAAAGATCCCATTCCTTCCTTCCTTGATCTGCTCACTGGAGAGGTATTCATCAAGACTCTAGTGTGTGGCAGGCACCGTTCCAGGAACTATCTTAAGAAAATCCCTGTCCTTATCACGCTGAAATCCCAAAGTCAGACAGCCGCCTTCCTGGCTCACGGGGCGGACCGTGTTCAGCCAGCTTCACCCCGGATGTGGGAGCCAGGACCTGGACCTTCATTCCTCACCCGTTGGGAGCGGAGGGCTTCCCGTCATGGAGGGTCAGCCGTTGACTCAGGCTCCCTCCTCAGTCCCTGCATTGGGTCCACCTCGGGAGGCCCTCCCTGATCCCACGCCAGCCCAGGCGCCTCCTCCGTCTCTCACTGTCCACTCACTGCGACCATAGTTTGAAGTGACCTGTATGTGTTGGCTCAGTGCCAGCCCCTAACGGCTGTCAGGTCCCCAGGGGACCCCGTGGGTCTCCTCCAGCTCCCATCCGCAGGCCTCCCCAGCACCTGAGCACAAGAGCAGGCCTGACAAACGTTCCCAGGATGAAGGACCCGAGGGGACCGAGTGGGAGGGTGTCTCTATAGATCCAAGAGGGGCTTCAAGTCCAAAGGTGCCAGCTGACTGCTGGGAAGGTGTCCCTGGGCCCAACTGAGGCCCCCCACTGCTCCATCTCCACAGAGAGTGGCCTACGGCGTCACACCGGAGAATGAGCACCACCTGGTGGCGGAGAGGGACGTCAGGCAGTTCCAGGTCGGTGCAGCCGGGGGAGCACAGGCTTGGGGTGGGGTGGGCCCCAGCTGTTCCCCGCTGTACAGCTTTGGCAGGACCCTGGAGCCAGAAAACTCAGCGACAGTGGCCGCAGCCCCCAGGACCGTAGTGATGGGTGGAGGAGGAGAAGGGCCTGCCCTCTGCCTTCACCAGCGTCCTCCTGCCCTCTGGTCCTTGGACCCCGGATACCCAATGCCACATTTGCCTACATCTCTATTTTCCTTCCATGAGTGGTCACCATGGGGTGCCCCCAAACTAGGTGAGAATGTCTTATCTTGAAGAAAGAGCTGCAGGGACATCAGTAACACATTCCTGGCCTAAGCCCTATTATATCCCTTAAAATAAAAAAAGCCCAGGACTTGGATATCAGGGAGTCCTGTGAGTAGCCAGGGTCTGTGTCACACTTCCATATTTGGGAAGGTGCCTTTGTGCCTTCCAGGCCTCCGTGATAAGTATGGCATCCACCTGCCTGTCCCCTGAGGGCACTGAAGGGACCGGCTATTTTTCCTGTCTCCCCTTTGCTTGCTGTGCCCTGCCCCACTGACCCTGGGTGCTCCTGGTCCCTGCCCCTGGGCCCTGTCTTAAAGGTCTGCTGTCTTCCTGTGCAGCTGAAGCACTGGTTGGCCATCTGAACCTGACCCCAAGGAGGAGGAACCCACCGTCCAGGCCAGAGGCAGCTGCTTCCCTCCTGCCCCGGACGCTGTCCTGTCGTTGCTCTCCTGGAGATGCCCTTTCTGACCCCCATATTCTACTTCTCCCAGTTACAAAGAATTGAGTGGCTCTGACTTTTGTTCTGCCTCTGTTCCTCTGGCCTGGGGGCTGTGAGCGGGGAGGACGGGTAAGCCTCAGGGCAGAGGAGGAAAGGAGGACAAAGGATCATGACTTCCGGGAACCCCCTTTATTTGAGGGGGAGACTCACCTCTTTGGAAGCCCCCCTGAATCTGAGCTCCATGGCTCAGGCTGAATCTCCTACCACATTCCCTTGTGCTTTGAAGAAATCCTCAGTTTGCCAAAACTGCAAGAGGATCATCTTTTGTTCAGATTAAAAACAGAACAAACCAACAAAGCAACCAACCAGAGCCCAGCTGAGCGTGGTGAGGGGAGACGGGGTCCACAGGTCCTCTTTCTCTGACCCACCCCAGGTAGCGTGCTGAACCTCAGTGTGGGAGTTTGGATGAAGTCAGCAGATAGATACTTTGGAGGATCTTGAAACTTTCATAGTTTCCCCTCTGGCTCATCCGAGTTTGATGTGTCTGTGTGTTCCAGAACATTCCACTGGCTTCTGGTGTCCAGATAGTCCAGGGCCATGGATGTCAGGGAGGCAGGTGGATGAGCCACAGAGAGCAGGTTCCACAGAGGTATCTGCACTAGGCAAACCCCTAGAGACCCCAAAGCCCTGTGCTGGTCCCCTGTGTCAGAGGCATGGCACCCACAAACCCATCTGTGGTTCCTAGGACCTTCCTACGTAAACGGGGCAGGCAGAGACCCAGTGAAGCCACCTGTGTGTCTCCTTCACAGGACTCTCTGCTGTCCTCATGGGGCCAGGTGGCTGCCCAGGGACAGCCTGAAAGGCTGTGGTGATCACTGTCCACTAACACCTGCAAGGCCTTTCCCAGCCGGGGATCTTGAGCCATGGGGACTGGCCCTGAATCTCCCTTTTGCATCTCTTCATAAACTAACTTGGCACCTTGGAGGGGAGGGTGGGGACCAAGCACCTGGCCACCCAACCAAGAGCACCTGGGTGGCTTGGAGATCCCGGGGATTCACTAACGAGCCAGCGGGGCCCTCTGGTGGTGGCTCGCTGCAGTTCCGTGGGAACCGATGGGTGGCTGTGAGGTTTCTGTTTGTGGTCTGAGTGTCTTGTGCCCTCGCTGGACACACAGATGGCGCCCTGCTGTTCTGACAAGGGGAGCCCCTCTGCAGAATTTTGGGCAAAATAAAAGAGGCCACTGCATTACACGGGGGAACGGAGGGGACACATGGAGAAGGGGTGGGGCCTGAGACGGGGGTGCCTCTGTACCTGCCGGGTTTGTCCCTGAGGGCCCTAGGGTGTCCCTGCTGCATCAGGGAAATCAGGAGACTTTGGGTCTTTCCATTCACGAAGGGCAGCTCCAGCCCAAGTGTCCTGGGCCCTGTGAAAGGTGCGGCCTGTCCTGTTCCACACCCAGCAGGTGTGGCTGCTCCTCCCATGGTGACAGTTCCTCTTAGGTGTTGGCATTTACTTATTTTTCAATAAAGCACTTTCACCCACGTCGCCTCCCAGTCCCCAGGAGGACAGCAGGGCGGGTTCCTGTCGCCTGGTGTCCCCCCCCCCCCCCGTGAGCAAACTAAGACCAGGCCTTTCAATGGCTCACGTTCGAGGTCTCAGCTCCTAAGGGGTCGAGTCGGCCCTCGGTCCAGGGCGCCGGGCATCCATCGGCCTGTGCCATGGGGTTCCCCTGACCCAGACTGACGTGACCAGAGAAGCTCACTAAATTCTGTCCCAGGGCAAAGGGATAAGAGGGGAGAGGCTGTCACTCACTCTCCCCTGGCCACCTGCCGCAGGAAGTCGCTCAGCTGCTCCTCTTTGGAGGAAGGTAGTCACCCCTGGAACAGGGGCACCCCACCTGGGAGACCCCTTCGCTGGGGCTGACAAGAGCACACACCCAGAAAGGGATCCGACCACCTCGCCGTGGGCACAGGACCCTCTGGGAGACCCTCGGGGTTCACCTCGCCACCCGCGCCACCTGAGGGGTAGGGATGGAGTGCTTGGTCATGAGTATGGCTTGACTTCTTTTTTGTGACCTTTCTTTAATAGCAGAGGTCACCCAGGACCAGGGTGCTCCTGTGTACTGTATATGGCACTTGACGCTTGGGATATTTTACCAGATTTTTAAAGAATTATTATTTTCATGAAATATGAGACACCATTTCAACAGTCCTGTCCTATCTACCTGGCGTCTGTGATTAAGCATCTACCTGCGAGTCCTCCTTCTAGACACAAAGGAGACCGAGGAGAAGGGGAGCTTCCAACTCCTCCCAAATATCCTGCTGAACAAAGTCCCCAAGCTGCCTTAATTCTCAGAGGGATTTTTTTTCCCAAGTGGGAGCCAATATCCTGCCGTATGATTTGTCTTCCAGTCTGATAGTGTAAGACGGGAGCATTCTCACCAAAGAAGTCATTTCCTATAGGAATTTCCTAGAAGAATCCCACTGGATCCACTCTATATGTTTGTTTATTTCTTTTGAAAGCTACAGAATGGAAAAGAACAGAGAGGGTGTTATGGCGTTGTGAAAATAGCACAGCATTTAGAGTTGCACAGACCTGGGTCTGTGGCTAACTAGCTGGGTGCACTGGGGTGAGTGGCTTCACTTCTTTGGGTGTTAAGGCCCTTGTGTGTAAAATCAGGGATTATATCAGATAATCAAAGGTCTCATTCACTTAAAAAAAAAAAGCCTCTGCATGTCTCCATGACAATATTCTTGTGCTAAATTTATGGTGAAGATAGCATGTCCCTAACTGCAGGGCTTCCCAAAGCGATCCCGTCACCAAAGACCTACTGAGCTTAAAAATATCAAATTTCCAAGACACTTGCTGTTTGAATAAAAGAAAAGTCTGACCCTTTGTCTTGAGGCCTGTTTTGTGGAATTGGAGGCTGGCTGTGGAGTCCCATGGTATTGGAGGCCAGTTGAGGAGTCCCACTCTGTCCCCGGACGTCCCAGGACTGTAGCCCTGCTGATGGGCCACTCGGGCTTGCTGGTGACTATGAAGTCGTTCCTGGGGTGCCTGCTGTCGTCCCTCTGTCTCTGTTTCTGTGTAAACAAGGAATGTTTCAATAGTGTCCTCTCTGAATCACGGGCCGTTTGGTGTCATGCAACTCTCTATGTCTGGTTGAGTTTATTTTAAAAGTTGTTCTCTTCATAGAAATATAAGTGTACAGAATAATAAAGGATATTTCCTGTGCCCCGTATCTGCTGATGGAGTTCAAATGCTTTCTGTCATGAGGTAAAATGCTGCCAATTATGTGAGGCAAGTGGGTTTGTCTGTGACCAGCCTCCAGCTAGTAAGGAAGAGCTTTTGGTCTTAGTGGCCCACTTTTCACCCCGATGATTACTTTCATAACCCATGGTACCGGAGACTGGAAGGGGTTGAGTCTGTGATCTTAGCTCTGAGATTCATGTCCATTTTACATTTTTAGTGCTAGGAATGAAACCCAGGGCCTCACACACACTGACCCAGAGCCCAGCATATATTTTTACCTAAATAAAAAGCGGCTACCAAGCAGCAGGTGTAGCTCTCCAGTTCTGTGTTTGGTTCTAGGACTGACTTTCAAGGGAATCAGAACTTCCAGTTGGATTGAATCAATGCACAATTTTGTGTGTGTGTGATGTTTCCTGGGACAGGGGCCACAGTCACACGTAGGTCCTCAGAGCTGAGTACTGTCACTGCTTGGGGACGACCTGAACTCACAGAGACTTGTTTTCAACCATGACGATGACACCCGTCTGGGAGGGGTTGTTAACAGAAAACCAGTCTGAGCCTTGACGTATGCGGAGGCCGTCAGAGCGGGCGGCTGGGCCCAGGGCTGAACGGAGGCCAACGGTAGGAAGCCCCAGAGGACAGCCCAGAGCACCTCAGGCCGGAACGCAGGAAGGACTGGTGCGGGAAGCCGTGAGCGCCCAGCCCTGGAGAGGCGCAGGCAGAGAGCAGGCAGTGTCTCTTGGGACCTGGTAGAGGGGACACTGTCAGGAAAGGGTGGAGCAGCAGGTTGCACACCTCTAAGCCCCTCTGTTTGAAACTTCTGGGCTCCTCTCTGACAGCCGTAAGCCCAGGCCTGGGCAGCGGTGTTGGGAGAGGCAAGGTCACTTGTGCCCAGGGGCCCGGCGAGGAGCCGCTGGCCCCCAGAGACGCCGTGACCATTCCAGCCACCTGTTCCCATGCGACCTGCATATGGAGCAAACGGCAGGGAGCAGGTGTCCCTGTGGGCTCTTGTGGGGCGATGGGGGTTCTGGAAGCTTCCACCCTGCCCCCTGGTCTGACAGGGGTGGGGGGAGCCAGAGGAGCACGGGGAGTCCTGAGCCTCACTTTTGGCCCCTGTGGGGTTCTGAATTCCCTGAAATTTAATCCCTTGCTGTGCTCTTTGAGGACATTGTGCAGATTCATCGTTACTGTCCCCAGAGGTGCCCGTTCGCCCAGTGGACCCCGAGTTGCCCAAGCCAGACGCTCAGGGTGGGCTTCCAAGTGCAGCCCCTCCTGAAATCTGATGTTGGAGGAGTTCACGTCCGGTTTCCTAAGGAAAGGACCCCCGTGGTCCTCAGATCCTCAAGTATTTCAGAGCCACAGGTGGATACGGTCAGCCCTCCTCTGTGGGTCCAGCGCCTGCAGGGTCAACCATCGTGGATCGAAATGCTGGAGAAAGCTCGGGACTGCCCGGGACTCCGGCAGCCTCCTCCCTGGTCCTCATCCCCTGAGCCTCTCCCTACAGGGACGTCCGTGGCCTTCGCATCGTGGGAGGTGTTATAAGCAATCTTGAGATGATTTAAAGCGGGCAGCGGCCGGGGTGGGAGAAGGTTCTGTGCAAATCATGGGGGGCTTGAGCGTCTGCTGATCTTGGTATTCCTGAGGGCCCTGGAACCAATCCCTTAGGGACACAAGGGACAACCATGTTGCCTCTGGCCTCTCTCTTCTGATGGTCCTGGGCATCTGTGTGCACCACCCCTTACTAAAGGTGATGTCCACTGCCCTTTCTCTGCCCACCCCACCAGTGCCTCCCGTGTTTCCACTGGACAGACCTGACGCCTGGCGCTGGG